ACCGCAAAAAAAAAAAAAAAAGTATTCCTTTGAGGAATGCTGTGGACTGAATTGTGTCCCCCCAAAATTCATATGTTAACCCCCTAGCCCCTAATGTGATAGCATTTTGAGATGAGGCCTTTGGAGATAATTAGGTTGAGATGAGCTCATGAGGGTGGGGCTGTCATGATGGGATTGGTGCCCTTTTAGAAAGAGGAAGAGAGAGAGAGATCACGTGCATCGAGGAAAGGTCATATGAGTACACAATGAGAAGGCAGCTGGCCATCAGAAAGCCAGGAAGAGAGCTCACACCAGAATATGACCATGCTAGCACCCTGATCTCAGACTTCTAGCCTCCAAAACTGTGAGAAAATAAATTTCTGTTGTTTAAGCCACTCAGTCTATGATATTTTATGTCAGCCTGAGCTAAGACAAGGAGTCTTAAAGATGTGATTATAAAATACAATACTGGAGGTTATGATAATAAAATACGATAAATCCTCTCAGAAAAGTTCTGTGATTCTTCTACTTTTATTTTTGCCAACTACAGAATACTTAAAATCGTCCTTCCTGGGATGTATAAAACAGTGTCTTGACCCTTTCTGGCTTTACTCATGTAACAATCTGAAGGAAAGCTTGCTAAGTGACAGCTTTCCCCAAACCTAACCTAGCTGCTGTCTGTGACTGGCTTTCTCCCAGAATCCTTCCTTTGCCTCCCCTGACTGCAGGCTTGACTGGGGAAGATGTTATTTTCCTAGTCTGAGTAAAATGTGCTGCTTTGCTCCCAGGCTCTGGCTACTGTTACAGTGTCTCATTTTGCATCCTTCCTGTTTCTACTTGACTATCTACTTCTTCTTTTCCTCTTATTATTATTATTTTTTAATGTTTAAAAAAATAAAAAATTTTGAGGGCACGTACCTTAAAATTTTTTTCTCTTCCAGTTTTGTTGATATATAATTGACATAGGGCACTGTATAACATGTGTACAGCATAATAATCTGACTTACATATACATCATGAAATGATTACCACAATAAGATTAGTGAATATCCATCATCTCATATAGACACAAAATAAAAAGAAAAAAATTCTTTTCCATGAGATGAGAACTCTTAGGATTTACTCTCTTAACTTTCATATATAACATAAAGCAGTGTTAATTGTATTAATCATGTTGTACATTACCTCCCTAGCAGTTATTTATCATATAACTTCCAGTTATAAGACCATTTACTTTTTCCTAATTACATCTGTCCTCCAGGTGAATGAATGTTTCCTGTGTTTTTATTTTGAAAAGTTTTGGTAAAGATTTTAATCACATAATTTTGTATTTTACATTTAACAGGATATCGCTTATATCATCTTGGGCAAGTCAGTTCATCACTTTGAGACCATCCTTCCTCTTTCCTAACAGGGAAAAAATAATAATGGCTGCTATATTACTTCACAGGTTGTTGTCAGAATCAGACAGAATCATATAAATCAGAGTTTGTGCAAATGTTGGTTGTTACATTGTTAGTTGGGAAATATCTGCCTGTATTTAACTCAGCCAGATTGGCCACATAGTTGAGTGTAGATTAGTCTTTGGTGCTTATTTGTATTTTTAGAGTATTTCTTTTTTTTTTTTTGTGGTACTTGGGCCTCTCACTGCTGTGGCCTCTCCCGTTGCGGAGCACAGGCTCCGGATGTGCAGGCTCAGCGGCCATGGCTCACGGGCCTAGCCACTCCACAGCATGTGGGATCTTCCCGGACCGGGGCATGAACCCGTGTCCCCTGCATTGGCAGGCAGGCTCTCAACCACTGTGCCACCAGGGAAGCCCTTAGGGTATTTCTTGACCAATCTGTGCAAAACAAGTTTGGCTTAGGAGAGTATTTTAATGGTATGAATGAGGGGTGGAGGGGAAAATGATTATAACACAAATCTATGTGTTAGTGCTGATAATCTTTAATGGTACCCTGGAAACTTGGATTTATCACATTTCTCTTTTGATAAATGCTTTCTTTTCATGTCCTACAAGTGCTTTGCTTGAGAGAGAGATTGATAGGTATATTTTGCAGAAAGTAAAGCTGGTCATTTTTTCTTTTTTGGTAAGCAGTACGATTTCAAGGGCTTCCCTGGTGTCGCAGTGGTTAAGAATCCATCTGCCAATGCAGGGGACACGGGTTTGAGCCCTGGTTCGGGAAGATCCCACATGCCGCGGAGCAACTAAACCTGTGCACCACAACTACTGAGCCTGTGCTCTAGAGCCCGCGAGCCACAACTACTGAAGCCTGTACACCTAGAGCCTGTTCTCTGCAACAAGAGAAGCCACCACAATGAGAAGCCTGCGCACTGCAACTAGAGAATGCCCACACGAAGCAACGAAGACCCAGTGTAGCCAAAAATAAATAAATAAAATAAATAAATTTATTTAAAAAAAAAATTTCAACTGGGAGAAAGAAAGAAATGGAATAATTTTCCTGCTCTAATTGAAGGTCTTATTCCTACAGTCTCTCCACTCTGTTTGTATGGGTGTGTCTATGTGTGTACGTTGGCATGGCTGGGCAACCACAGTGAGTGTGCAGAAGGGTGAGAAGAAGAGAAATAGTAACAGAAGTAAAGAATCAAAAGATGTAAGGGAGATATTGGAACACTTACACTATCTCAGATATGCAATTAAAGGCACCCAGAAATTTTACTTTCTTTTTCTTCCCTTTTCAAATTCCCACTTGATAAATTGTTTTTTTCCTAAGGAATTCATGATAGTTTTGGACTGAAGTCATTTTGAAGTAACTCTCCCACCCCCGCTTGTTTTAATAGAAATATATTAGTAAAGCTTCTTTTGCTTTTATCTTGTTTTTCATAGTAATCATAACAGTTGTTGCATGCCCAAATGTTGGGACAAATATTTACTTATATCTATAGAGGTATAAATTCAACAGAATAAAGTTCAGGGTGATAAAAAAATATGACACTGCTTTGGGAAACATGAAAACATATTAATAGTATATAAACACTTGAAGAGTAGCAAATGCTAGGAAATATGGGGCGACACAAAAAATTAACTATATCTGATGTACAATATAGCAGATGGAAATTATGATCTGTCTGCTTATGTTGAGACATCACGCTACAGAACAAAGAGTTTTGATTGAGATGCAAGTAATTTGGTCTTTCCCTCTTTAACACAGGCTGTTTTCATATTGCCAGTTTTTTCCTTACAAGTTAATACAATGACATGAAATTTTATTGGCTTCCTACCTAGGTTACCTGTGGATTTTAATCTATAGGAGCGTCTAGGTCAAATTTTAACAAAAAGCAGCCTTTACTGAGGTGTTTAAAAACATAAATATGTATTCTTATCCATATATAATTTAAAAATGTGATTTGATGATCTATTTATAAACTTGTATTTCTTAAACATTTATCAGAACTTTGAGGGGTCAGTAGAGGTGTTCTTGATCTAAACTGTGGTTTTTGAGGTGGAGAGTATAAAATGGTTTGTTGGTCATTGATGACAATAGTTAGAGTTCCCAGTATTGTAGACATTTCTTCTCCATTTAGTGAGATAGGGTTAACTTTGTTTCTTGTCTAGTTTCGGGTCCTGGGATATATCAGAAAAGTGGAGATGTTTTATTTATTAGGCAAATTATTCTCTATCCTGAGCATGCACAAATCTTCATTGCTTTTGAGTCTCTAACAGAAAGATGGTAGTGTGGTAAACACAGAAGCAGTCCTTACTATCACTTTCCTCTAAGATGGATAATACCAGTCACTTCATAACCTTCAGTTTGAGAAAGCATGAGAGTAGAGTTAAAAAAAGGCACTGTTGTATTACAAAAACGGCATCTTTCCATACTAACTACCCCCTGCAGATTACACATCGACCCTATCATCAGTCTGCTAAAGTAGAAATGGAGAATGAGATAAATCCTCAATTATTTTAAAGTGCATTTGTTTCACTGGAGCCTTTCAAATTTTTCGTGTGTGTGTGTGAGAGAGAGAGAGAGAGAGAGAGAGAAAGAGAGAGAGAGAGAAGAGACTAAAGACTTCCTTGATGCAGCAAGTGTAGTGAAAATATAAAAATGTTTGATAAATAAAAATTTAAACATAGCACCAGACTATGATTTTTCTTCATGCACACCTTTATGTCTGACTTTTGAAAGGTCTTTAGACACAATTTTTTAAAAATGATAGTTTCAGAGTCTTCTACAATGCCTTCATGGTGGATCGATTTCCATACAGGTCTTCCATAGTAACATATCTTCATCCCAGTTAACCAACCATAAGAGAAAGAATGTAATCTTCTGCCTCCCCTCTGTGGGCAGAGTGGACTGGAGAGTAGAGTCAGAAAACATCGGTTCCAATTTGTGTCTACAATTTGATGACGTGAGTGATGTTGGGCCTCTAGTAACTTTAGAAGGTTCACTAGAAAAACCGAGATAATAGCTACCACATTATATAGTCGAGAGGGCTACCTGAGCTCACAAACGAAGTTCTCTATACAGCAAACGGAATGCAAACGTGAGCCACACTTTATATTTCTAAGCAGCTGAATCCCTGATACAGCCCTGGATTTACAAGAAAGTGGGGGAAAATGTCAATCCAGTGAGGTCACTCCCTCTGGCCGGGCCCTAAAATTCTTTGGCACCTGAAGGGCTGTGGTCTGTACACTCGGAAAAGCCTCGGCACCCCGACTTGGCACAATGGCGCCCTTAGGCTCCTGCTCACTCAAGCAGCGGGGAACTTTTCGTAGCTCCTCCAAACCATGGGAGCGTTTTCTCCCAGCTCTCTCCACAGACCTCGCCAAACGTCTCCTCCCAAGGCCTCACCCACGGAGACATCGCGCATCCACAATTACTCGACGCTCGTTACGCTCACCGCCGGTGCGGAGGTGGGGAGGAAGGCGTGGCTTCGCCTTTATAAGCCTTGCCAGCCAATGAGCGTGCTGCCTTTCTCCCGGTCGGCGAGCCAACCAATCCGAGCAAGTCGGTGTAACCTTCGGCTCTACTCGGCTCTTTTCGCTGATGCGGGCAGCTCGAGTGGCCGCCGCCGCTAGAAAGACGCTTTCCTTTTTAATTTTTTTTCCAAGCGTTCACTTCCGGGTCCGGCGCCGATCCGGATGCCCGAGGCAGAAGGATGTTTGACCTCCGGATAAGCGAGGCGCCGCTGTGCATTCATTCCCAGCTGCATTGGTGGCGACAGCCGCGGCCCGGACGGCGACTCTCCGGCCAGAGGCGGCGGTAGGACGCACCGGCAGTAGTGCGGCGACCGAGTCCGAGCTGCGTTATCTCCCTCGCTTGTTCCTTCCCCCCTACCTCGCTCGCTCCCTCCCTCCCTGCGTGCCTCGCTTTCCTCCTCTGGCCGCCGGCGGGTGCGATGTGCCGCCGCCGCTGCCCCAGCCGCCGCTGACTGACGGACCGGGGGGCGCCGCCCGCGCCCGGGACCGACCCGCCACTTGCGGCCGCGCCTTTGAGGTAAAGCCCCGTTCGCGTTGGCGCCTGGCCGGGAGGCCCCGGCCCGGCGGCTGCCGCGGCGCGGCCGCGGCGCCTTCCTGCCCGGGTGGGGCTGGGCGGACTGGGGTCCCGGGCTGGGTGGGGTGGGGTGCGGCGGGGGCGGTGCCGCCGGCGGGGGCCCCGGGGAGGGGTGGGCGAGGACCCGGGCGGGCGGCGCGGAGGCGCTGGCTGGAGGCGGCCGCGGCCGGGGGGCGAGGGCGCCTTGGGCTCGCTGGGCAGGGAGGGGGCCGCGGGCGGCTGGCCGGGCTGGCCGCAGAAGTTGCCCGAGTGGTGCGGAGCGAGTGGGGACGGCGGGGAGGTGGGCGAGCTGGGAAAAGGCAGAGGCTTTTGGGGGGAGGGTTGAGAGGTCGGGAGTGCAGCCCCCAGCGCCCCGCGATTGTGTCCAGACAATTCCCTTCGGAGCGGGGATTTTAGGCAGGCCCTTCGGAGTGGGGATTTTAGGCAGGAGGGAGAGAGCCGTCTGTCGGCTGGAGGAGGTGTCGGGGTCAGCATTCATTTCTGGGAGAAACTTCCCGATGGGGTATTTGTTTTAAGGGGGGGGTAGGGATTTACCTATTCGATAGAGCTTTTGACTTAGCTCAGAACTTATCCAAGGCATTAGTCGGGGGCTCAAAATTACTCTGATGGTTACTGTTAGGGTGCTGCTTTGTTTGTTTCTCCCACTTGCAAAGGGGAAGTGACCCACAGGAGCGTCGGCTCTCTTGGTCCACAGCCCCCGCGTTTCTTTTCTGCGGGGTGGTGATGGAGATGTGTGTTTGCTCCTGGGGTGAGGGTAGTTAGGCCTGTGTTACGATCATTCCAGTTCTCCCAGGGAAGGAGGAAAAGTTAATGGGTGGGAGTGTGTGTGGGAGATGGCTACTGTTGCTACTCTGTGCGAATTAGTTTTAACTCTGTTGTAATGAGTACCAAGGCTGCAGCAAGTGACCCTTTTTTAACCTTTGGTTTTAGAACATCGACTTTAATTAGAGAATTAAAAACCTACTGATTTTTAATAAGTTAAGGAAAGAAGTTAGTACTTCTTTTACGTTTGCAATTACTTCTTGTGATAGGAATGACATTTGCCCACAGATAGTAAAAGAGGTTAAACTATATCTGAGTTGGAATACTTTTTAAAATTAAAAATATCTAATAAGTAAAACCATGTATATATTTTTGAAGAATATTTGCTTTCCCTGTAAATAAGCAGATTGTGAAAGAAAAATATCACAGAAGTTATAAGATGTGAGGCCAGTTGAAAAAACATTTCCCACCAAAAATCAGATCTGGTTTGTGACATTCTTAATAACTTTTTTGGCAGAGGGGAGTGGAGAGTTGTGTTTAGTGTATTTTGTAATTATTCCCAAACTTTGCTCCAACTGTATTCTGAGTTAAGATCAATTATTTTCTTATTTTATATACGTTAGCCTTTATAGTTGCACAAAAGATGAAAATCATATTTATGGGAATTGGAAGAAAGGTGTAATAAGATAAATTGCATGGCTTTGGTATAAATTTGTAGCAGAGTGTATAGACACTTTTGCATTCAGGGTGCTTGCATTTCTGAATATGCCTCAGGTATAAGGAGTAAGTAGTTCTTATTAGAACGGGGGGACAGAAAGTTTAATTTTGATGTTGATATGTATGAGACTTTCGGGGGAATCTTGGAAAATGATTATCTTTTCTGATGGTTTATTGTGCTCACTGACCTCTTCTGCCATTCATCAACTTAAAAACTAATGCATTATATAATTATTGACATTTTCATTGTTAGATTTGCAAGCATTAACTATTAACAAAATCTTCAGCACACAGAAGTCACTTATTCCTTCAAATAAAAGAACTAGGATTAGAACAAAGGAATAGTTTAGTTCAACCTGAACCTTTACTTTGTGTAGGGGACTTTTACTATGTGGTGAGGGTGGAAGAGTGGTAGAAACATGAGGAGGACTAAGACCCAGGACTAAGACCTTTAAGGGAGAAGCAGACATGCACAGAAATAATTGCAACACAGGACTCCTGTGGGGTTTATTAGAAATGTATGGAAGCATGCGTGTGTGTGTGTGTGTGTGTGTGTGTGTGTGTGTGTGTGTGTGATACCAATTTTGACTGGGGAATTATAAACAAGGTTATAGCTGGTAATACTCCATTTGGGGCTTAAAATATTTTAATGGTCAAAGTGGGTCGGTGTGTGTGGGGGGTGGTATGGGTAGTTTTGTAGGTGAAGGGAGCAGTTGAGAACCAGCATGCGTTTGCTATCATGGGGCCTGTTGAGCTGGACCTAAGGCTGCTGTGCCAGGAGGTCTCTGTGGGAATAGAAGCTGTAAAATTAGGTGGGGATCAGTCAGTCCATGGACATCTAGAATGCCTTGTATTTAAAAGTGAGTCAGTTTAAGGTATGAAGGTCCAAGTGTATAGATTCTATGCTGATAGCAAGTAGGTAGGCAAATAAGGCTAGTAAGTTTAAAGGAAACAAATTAGAATAGTCAGTTTGTTATCATTCATGCTAATGGAGGAAAGCAGAAGAGTATATAATCTAAAACAGTTCCTGCATGGCTTTATCATATTTCTTTGCTTGCATTTGGATATGAGTGTGTGGTAACCTGGTAATTGGTTTTATATGAAATAAATCTGGATTTTAAACATATGACTTGGGAAGAAATGGGAATCTTTCCCTTTTCTTCTCTGGGTGCCCTCTGTAATCCCCTTCATGCTGGGAATAGACCATCATTCTGGTGTGGTTTATTGGTTCAGATTTTTTCAGAATGGAACAAGTAGTTGTTTAGTTTCAAAGGGCTTCCCAAAAGGATGTATCAAACTAAATAGTGGGAATCTGAAACAATAAATAACAAAATACAAGTCATTGGATAGTTATATTATTGTTAATACACTTTAAGGTGAGATTTGCTATGGATAAAGTGAAATGTGAGGAATCTACATAGGAAGAGAATTGACTATACCAGTAAGATGACAACATGAGAGACTTCCACAGTTATGGATAAATATATACAGGATTTTTAGTCATCTTAAATATTGATGACTCTAAAAAAATTTAATCCCAAACTTAATCATTATCAAAGGAGTGCTTAGAAAAATATCACCCTTATGACACCATTGTTTAATCATCTAGTCATGTAACAGGGGAGATTGTTTGATAGTTTTTTACTGACTGTTCCCCTCTTAGTGTTCAATAAGGATTTACATTATAACTGAATTTGTATCTTGAACCTCCCGATAATAACAATACCTATTACAATTTATTAAGTGCCCACTTGGTCTAAGGACCATAAATGATAACTGTTAAGACAACTCTGTGAGTTAGGTGGTGTAAGCCTTGCTTTTGACAGTAGGAGGCAGAGTTTTCTAGAATTTAAGCAACCTGTTTAAGATATATCTTGGAAGTAGCAGAGTGCATATTTAAATCTTTTTCTTTTTTTTTCTGACTTCACAGTCTTAGACCGATGATGTCTTCTATAATCTTCCATATTCTTCCTTTTTGTCTTTTCTCATGCAGTTGGCACTTAGTGGTATTGATTAATGTTGTTAGTATGTGTTTGGGTGTTTGTTCTTTAAGATATAATTTCTTTGGAAATGGCGGTTTTGGGATATCTGTAGTTCTCTACTAGTAGTGACTCTCTAGGAGCAGAAGATATGGTTCTAGTAATGTAAGCTACCTCAGAGTATCATTTTTGTGCTGATCTGTAGGAAAGAACCATACATGAGATTGTTAATGTGTGGAAATCAAGTGTGTATTGTCTATTAATGAGAAGTGACTTTGGAGAGCCTCTGAACTAGTCAGAAAACATGGAATGGGACAGATAAGCGGGGATAGGTAAGTTTTAGAGACACAGTGGAGACTGCTGTTAGCCATGTTTTTTCTAGCTCCCTTCTCAAAGCTGAGATTTAGGAACTATAAATGTTTGGGTTTCCTTCTATAATGGGACCTATGGAAGGTGCATAGTGATTTGTTCTTAAACTCTCTTATATTATGTTCTCCCCTTCTACTCCCTGCCAATCATCCTAGTTCTGAGGAAGAATTCTTAACAGTGAACTTGAAGTACTTGTGTATTTGGTAGATAAGACACACATTTTGATCATTTTCTTTACTAATGATATATCACATAGTTATAATGTAATTAAATGAAAATCTATAGCTAAAACCTATGTCCACATGACTGTATCACGTCCACATTTTTTATAGCGTTTACTGTAATTAGTAAATTCTCATGATGTATATACTCTTTTTCTTAAACACAAATTTCTAATGCTTTCTTCTTCAGTGAGGTAATGCAGATTTTAACTGTATTCAAATTTATTACATATATTTAGTTGATTTTGTGTTGAACTACTTTCCTTAGCTGATAGCTACGTTGGAAAAACAAGGGGGCGGGGAAGAGGGTTTCTCTGCCATTATATTCTTCATCCCGATTGAGAAAATTCATATAAAGTGCCATGATGTGATGCCTGGCACATAGCAGGCACTATGCAGATCTTCTCTTAAATTTAGGGGTTGCTGATATATATGAGTTGTCAGAGTGTTGATTGGTGCATAGAATGAGCAAAGACTTTTGGGGATAGCCTATTACAGGAGAATCTCTGAGCTCACCTCTCTTTAACCCACTCAAAAGATTAAGTTATACTCTTCATTCATTTACTACTTGATGTCCATGCTACATTAAATGGCAGTAGACTACCCTCTAGTTTGTTCTTGAACTTTTATTCCTACCGGTTATTGTATACTGTGTATACCTACCAAGAATCATTTGTCTGTGTACCCAGCAAATTGTTAATGGCAGTTGTACTTGTTGTAATTACATAGTTTAATGAGATGTTATTCAGTGAACTATGAAGGCGAAAAGGTGTTTGTATGAGAGCCAGTGACTGCTTTGGAAACAGGTGAGTAGCTGAAGTCACTTCCAGTTAAAATCGGTGTAGGTGAAATTAAATGACTAGGGAAAAAACCCTAAAAGTTGTAGATTTTGCAA